AAAAAGTGAAATTAACATTAAGGGGTACGAACTTTGGATCGCTCTCCTGACCAAACTATGGGGACCATATTTCCCAGATTGCGGCTACCCCCTATATTTTTAAGGTTAAGAATCCAGATATGTAAAAAAAAATTATATGTTTATTCAGGGAAAGTACGTTTTTGTGTCTGATTTCGTAACTTAATTAGTAGTTAGCACTAATTAATTAGCATATTTGAGGTCACCCCCAGGAACCATTAAGATTGACACTTAGTTCGTGAAATTCCGATCATTAGAACGAAAGTTATTCAGGGTGATATTTTTTTTTTGCACACTGTGCACGAAAACTGGTGCTAACTTTTACAAAAATTATCCAATCAAGCAATTTTAGTAGTGGTGAAAACTGCGGTTTAATACCTTCCTGAATTTGGTTCTGTAAATGTGGAGAATTTTAGAGGTTTTTGAAAGATTCAAGGTATACTGGATACCTCCCAATAGTTCCTATGTGGTTACTTTTTTGTATGCTTCCTGAACAAAATTAAAGAAGTTTACCTGTGGGAGATAACTGATAATTTTTCTTAGCCAAAATCACGTAGAGAGAATATGATAAGATTGTAAAATGTTGCAGGTGCTTATCAGTCTATATGCAAACAATATTATAAACTTATATAAAGCAAGGAAGCAATATTATTTAACGCATTACTATAGAGCATTAGCCGGAGATTGATCTCCATATCCAAAACACGCGTAGCAAAGCCCCACTCAATTCATTGTTGATCTTATAGGTTGCCGGGCGCTCCCTATATGGTGCTTCATCACCCCTCCCACATTAATTTAAATTTTAAACAGAAAACAATTAAAACGCAATGATAAAAAAACTGTAAAATATAGCAAGTAAATTAAAACTTGTAATATTAATTTAATTAGTCTGCTAAGTAATATTTCAAAGGAAAATAACATTGCAAGTAATTGCCGAATTAACTTCAATACATCTGACAAAATATTTTAGTTTCAATTAGACAAACAGCAAATTATGTATTGAGAACATGTAAAGCGAAATAAACTGAAATTTGGCAAATTAAATTAAGGATGTTTAATTACTCTTTCATACTGAATACTAATCATAAGGTCAAACAAATATAAAATGAAATAATTTTGTAATCAATGATCAATAAACATTTTTGTCTGAGTAGTTATAAAAAATAAGGTGAAAACAATAAAATTAAAAATTATTTAGATCTCTAAATATTTACAAAACCTAGCTATGTACAACATTCTTCATTGATTTTTCTTTGCACATCATTTCGTGTACCAACGTTTTGCACTTTCATGCATTCTTTAAGAAATATCTCAAAACAATATGCACTGGCTGAACAATATTTTAAGAATTAGTAAAAGCAATGATAAAATTAAAAATTATTTGTAAAACCTCCTTATATACAAAATTTTTTATTGATTTCTTTTCCAAATCATTTTTTTCACCAACGATTTGTACTTTGATGCCTTCCTTAGTGTGACACCTTGAAAAGGCAATGTATAACTGACCATGTCCAATGATTGGTTTATTTTGATCAATGTAAAGACAAGTTTTGTCAAAAGTTTTACCCTGTGACTTATTTAATGGTCACGGCAAAAGCTACTCTTGTCGGAAACTGTGTATGATATAAAACAAAAGGCAAGTCTTTACTTCCTCTTGTATTTAAAATAATTCTTTGGATAACTACAGAATTACCCTTTTTATCATCCATCATAACTGTACATAAAGAGTGTTTTTCGTCACCTTTTGGACAATTTGGTTATGTAACTTAGTTCCATTACATTACCCATCAGCAAAACAAATGTTCCAGACAAGCAATGAACTTAAGCTTGACTTTATGTAAAGGTAAACGTAAACCTGTAACAGTAATTCTTGCCAAATACTCCGGCTGAAAATGAAGCGCTATGCTTTCTTTCTCTTGGGATTTTTTGAAGGATCAAATCGTTTAAAGCATTTACTTGCTCATTTAATGGGACTAAAACAGCACAACTTGATAATGATGAAATCTGTAATTTATTCCCCGAATGTATCTTCAATTATGTTTTGTGACAGGATTTTAGTGAAATTTCTGATAAATCATTTTCCCTAAATCCTATTGAAATGAACCACTTTCCAAAATCTACAGAATCAGCACTCATATATCTTGATAGACAGAAGCTTCTCACATGACACCAGCATGTGGTACATTTAATTATACCATGCTCCAACTGATGTCTTCCAGCTTGCTTTAGAACTGGCAACACTAGATAGAAGTCCCCCACCAAATGAAATGCATAATTCTCCAAATGCACTATCATAATTCATTAGATCTTTCAGAGTGTAGAGGGGAGATTGTATCTTTGTTGATCCTTTACAAATGTTTGGTGGAATTATTGTTTGATATCTTCATTAGAATGTTCTGTCATAAAGTGTTCTATAAGCTTGGGCATATGGATTTCTTTCCATTATATTGTGAATAAGACGCAAAAAGCTTTAATACATTTATCTGAAATTCTACTCGACAATGCCGGGTCATTGTCCTGATTTGAGTAAATTTGTAATTTTCATTATAAGGCGATATCGAGCTTGTTGTCGCAGTAACGTTGACATCACCTTTAAAAGTAAGACAACTGATTCCTTCAAATGAAGTTTCTTCAGATGGGCAAAAAGCAGTCACTGCAAATGCAGAGTTGTATAATCGAACATTTTGTCTAAAGTTAATTGCATCAGAATGGCTGCCAAGTAAAAGATGGTAAAAAAATGGCCAAGTAAAATATTTCTGGATGTTCAAGATTAGTGAGTAGTTATTGTAGTAGTATATTAGTATTGTAAATTAGTAGTTATTGTCTGATAAGGACTTACCGAGGTAGGCGTTTTCATTTGATCGTCTTGGCCCTTCAACGTTTCTTTGCCGGACATTCTACTGTGGCATATCCCCAAAGATATTCACGGCGATCCATTTCATATAACAAAGTTTTGAGTGTTTCAAAGTAAATTTTGTTCAATATATTTCACATACTCAGCACAAAATAAAAATCGCAACAAGCTTTAGCTGGTAAGTTTAGTTGTAACATTTCAGCAGGCAGCATTACTCTTTACGCACGTGTGTGCTCAATTTTCATTGACTGAAGTTGTTTTTTTTCCCTCAAGTGTGCTCAAAGCAGTTTCATTTACCATTTTTCTTCCCTGTTTCAGACAGTAGATAGAGCTTAATAATTCAGAAGTTTATTCAGTATTTAAAACTTTGCTGTTCTCTAATAACATGAAATGTTTCATTCATCTGATCTTTTGTAAAGTTGAGCTGCCTTTCTTAAGGTGTTATATTTTTTAAAAATAAGCAGGATTTTCTTTGTGGAAACAAATAAGTGGTATTAAAATATTACCTGCTAACTTGTACATTTTTGACATACAATCTACGGTGTATAACCAGATTGAATGGTCAATCAGTAAAATCGTACAGTTGTGTAATTTTTTTATGGTCTTTAGTTTTTTTTAGAAGAAAACTAACAGCATGCTTATTTGAGTTGTGTATTTAAAAATTTACAAAATTTTAAATTCCAGTTATGAGCTAAGTTATCAGGCAAACAAAATTTAGATCCATGGAGGTAGATGTGTTTGGTGTGATTGAATTGATATTGAATACCTTAAATATAAAATGGTGAATACGAGCAATCAAATTGCTCTTGTAAACAAAGTAATCTGCAAAAATCTTTAAAAAAAATTTCAGTCAGTGGAAACTAAAAAATGTGAACTGAAAATCTTTGTTCAGACCTTGATTCAACTAGAGTAATCTGGGACTCATACTGTAAATTTGCCAATTTGCTGTGTTAGTAAAAAGTTAAGTATTAATCGTTTAGCATATTCCACAGTAATAATAATATCTATTATATTATATATCAGTTACTGTCATAATCTGATTTTAGTACTAGATAAGCCATCAAGACTGTTTTGATTATTGGTATTTGATTTGATTGCCTTACAAAGTGTCTATCTCCCTTTTAATAATTTACAATAATTTTAATAAGTATAGGTAAAATAAGTAATTTATATTTTAAATTGTACAATTTTAATTGAGGGACCATCCACTAATTGCATAATTTTTTTAAAGAAATTTATTGTACTAAATTACTTTTTTTTTCTTATTACTTTTATTACTATATTATTCATTTTAAGATTTTTAGTTAAATTATTTTATGAAACTGTTAAATTAATTTATAATAAAACTCAATAATATTTTAAGGCTTTTCACTATTTCAATATTTTGCAAATGCAGTAAAAAAAAAAATTATGTTATTCAGATTTGTCATTCCAAAAAAAATAAAAAGAAATTTTAATTCTATTAATAATTTTATTTAATAAAACATGAAATAAAAAAAAATTCGATATTCTCAGGTTTGTTAAATATAATGAATCTAGGACCATGTAATGATACAATAGGGGCCAGTTTCAATGAAATATAATAGGGGCCATTCACTTACTTATATTTATATTATGAGTTTATTAAGATTTTCTTAGTTTGCTTAATTCTTTACATACCTTTATAAATTCAGTATGATTAATAATATTATCTTGTTAATGTTTTTTTTAATATACTTTTTTAAAATAACTTTTATTTGAATCTAAAAATGCACCAGATAGCTTTTTAAATTATAGCTTAAATAATTATAGTTTTAAATTAAAATTAATTTTTTTCACATAATTAAAACTGAATTTTAATAATGGAATGAACAACTTAATATTGACAATATTTAAAATTTTGCATAAATTTAAAAAAAATATGTTCAAAGCGCCAGGAAAAAAATTTAAAAAACGGACTACTCTGAATAATTTTTAATCAAATGATCGGATCTCCTCGTTTTATAACTCAAATTTTATGGTTCAAATGGGTGACTACAATTATGCTGTTTAATTAGAACAAACGTTATTTTAAGTTACGAATTAAGACAAAACTTACTTTTGCCGAATAAATATAACCTTTTTTTTCCAACGGATTTCTGACACAAAACGTGTGGGGAAAAGCCCCAAATTTGGATATATGATCCTCATAGTTTTGTCTAGAGAGCAATCATAAGTTTGGACACAATAATGTTTTGTTAAGTTCACTTTTTGAGTATTCTACCATATTGTGATAACGTCTTAACCGAATTGAAGAGAAAGGGTTTTTAATTGTAAGGTTTACGATTTCTTACATCATTTTATGGAATTGAATTATAGTTGAAAATTTGAATAAAATCAGTCAAATAGTTCCTGAGAAATCGAATTTCAAATGCATGACTTTTTAAAATTTGAATTTTCAGAAAATATTTGACCGATTTGACTCAAATTTTGTATTTTGGCAATATTTAAATGACATTCTTTTGTTAACAAACACTATTTCACACTGTTTACAAACACATAAACTATTTTGAGTTCATCTGAAAAATTTCGTCATTGCAACGGTAAAAAGGTTAATTTCTACAAGATCTAAGTATCAATTGAAAACTGTTCTACAAGCCCAAATACACAACATGCTAATGAAAATAATCCTCTCACTTATTATAAACTAACACCTAGTTCTCATTTGAAAGAAATGTCATGCATTTCAAGAGCATTTCTTTTCGTTTCATATGTATATAATCCTAAACCATGTGCATGTGATTTTTATATGTCTGTCTCTCATTTCGAGTAGACATGTATCATATATCTTATGGACGTAAAATGCCATCCTGTGCCAAAAATTATGGTTTTTAAAATTTTCTAGAACACGGTCACAAACGGGGTTGAATGGGCAAGCACTTTGGCATACTGATGTGTCAAACGCAATATAAGAGGCGCGCAACAGCTTTTTTAGCCTGCCATTTTGGTAAGAAGTATTTGGTCTGCAATTTAAAGCTTCAGTCGCGTCATTTCTTACATTTAAGTATTTATTTATTTTTTGATAACTTTATGTATATTATTGCCTTTTTAATAATATGTGCCATATTTAATTTTTAATGATAATAAGCCTTAAAATGCTTATTTCAGTAATTATATTTTATCTTATAGGTTGTATAAAAACTTCTAACAAAATATGGATCGAAGTAACAAAAAAAGAATTGCACGTATAGGGCATATTACTTCAAAAGACAAGATTAATCCAATGAATTGCCTTGTGGCTGATATTATGAGAAAAATGGATGCTAGTGTGACGGATTCAGAATGCTTTAAAACTTTTGGTTCTTCAACTTACAGAACGGAAACAGATCAAAGTAATCTTCAAATACCTTCTGCTATCTCCACTCATCCGAACATAGCACCGCAGCAACAAAAGAAATTCCTGCCTACCAAACGTCATCCTCTCATGGAAAAAGCTCAAAAAAGCAAAAACTATATAAAACATAATCGGAGTATTCCTAAGCCAAGGGCTCATCTTGGTGGGTTAGAGGATCCAGTCCAAAGTAAAAGAAAAATTGATGTCAAAAGAAACTTCTCTTCCACCCATTTGGAGGAAAAGAGGAAACCAAGTGATATATCTACTAAAAGTCAGCACAGCAAATCAAACAATACTAACATTGCCCATTCCAATAAAAGAGTTAGTGGTATAAGCTCTAAATCGCCAATTCTAAGTTCAGATTCTGAACTTGAGTCTTTCACTCAGGCTCAAAAGCTTGACACAGATTCTGAATTTGAGTCATTCATTCAGGCTCAAAAACTTGACACAGATTCTGAATCTGAATTTGAGTCATTCATTCAGGCTCAAAAACTTGACACAGAGTGGGGTGAACAAAATTCCACAAAAACTAAGAAGAAAAGCAAACTTACAAATGATGGTAGAAAACGCAAAAAATTAAGTAAAAAGAAGTATACTAAAAATAAAAGAATGAAGTCTGTAGAACTTGAAAATGAAGATAATAATTCACTTCCTTCCCCTAGTATATCTAGTAAAATTACAACTACAAATAGGCTGACGTTACCAGAAACAAGTGATAGTTCAGTATATTCTGCTGATGAAAGTAAATCAACTAACAGCCTCTTCGAAGCAGAAAAGACTTCATCTGTACCTTCTTTTGAAAAAGAGAATAGAATCGAGTCATGTAGACAAATCGATACGGATAGTTCTATGTGCACTGTTCGAATTGAAAGAAACCCACTTTTAGATGAAGTGTTTGAATTGCATCCTCCATTAAAAGACATTAAAAATTATGAGTTCTCTTCACAGCCCGAAGAAAGTAAAAAAATAGATTTGACTGAATGTACAGAAAAAACTGCAGTAGAATCTGATGATGATTGTTTGATTGTGTGTGAATTACCAAACTCTAATAATCATTTTGATATTTGTGCTACTGAAGGAGTTAACACAGTATCAGATATACAAATTTTAAATGTAATTTCAATGGGACAAAATGAAAAAGCTATCGATATGAATGAGGAAAATACAGATTCAGCAACTCAGAGTACCTCTCTTGGTGAAAATTCACGTGGAGATAACTTGGAAAGTTCAAAGGGGGTTATTGATCAAGGGTCAAATTTCTCTACTCTTACGGACGAAACTTTCATTACTGAATTGAATGATACAAATTTTTCTGCAAATATAACTGAGGATAGATTCCAGGTCGTTACTGATTGCAATAGTAATGAAAAATCCTGTCCACCCGTGTCTTCAAACATATTGGATGCTTTCAACAAAATAGACTTAAAACAAGTTTTGTTGCTTGCAAGCAATGCTGATAACAAAAGTTCGTCTGAAATAAAACTTTTTGACTCATTACCTTGTTCATCATCATGCACAGATTTGCCATCAAAGAATCCTGAAATTATAACTGAAAGTCATTGGCTGAATTTAAAGAAAGCTGTTAACATGAATAACTGTTCCACCAATGAACTATTACCTGCCGTTGTAGAGCAATTGAAAGATGGCCGAGTGGATTTCAATCATTTAAGATCTGAAAACATCACAAAATGTATAGATAATGTGAGGGCACCTTCAAAAGAACCTGCCATTGTTTCAGACTGTAACATATCTGCAGCATCTCTAAAGGAGATCATTACAGTTGCTGAGCAGCTTACAAGAGCACGTGGGAGAAACATTCTTCCAGATAAAGATACTCGTGGGTTTCAATTGAAAACAGACTCTTATGAAGATCCTTGTGATGAACTAGATGATTTTGTGACAGCTAGCATCCGAGAATTCTGGCCGAAGGAAAGTCCCCAGAATAGCTCAAAATTACTTCATATCTACAGTCAAGTTTTACAAGAGTATAATAAAATAAAAAATTCTGAAAAATCCATAACATACAGTTTGAAGATATTACAAGAATCTAAAGAAGCAAAAAAGAAACACCTAGAAACTGTGTTAAAACATCTAATGAAATGTGATCCATGCTTTTACACAACTGCTAAGAGCAGCCAGGACACTGTTGTTTACAATGACGAGACGAGTTCGGTAAAAAATACAGAAACTGAGGATATTTCATCTTATCAAATAAAGGTAAGTTCGTTTTCTCTTGTTTGATCAACCTGTTTTGTATCCATATACTGTTAAATTATTCCGCTAAGAGGAGAAGAAAATACAATAGGAGTCCTGCCTGCCTATTGTATCAGAATTTTCCTGTCTTGCCGTAAACGTTTCTCAAGCAAAGTAAGTTTCTTTTTCTAAATTATTTCTTCTATTTAGTTATATAATTGAAATAGAAACTAAAGATAAGGAATATTTCAACTTAAACACTGGGTTAACCTTTTTCTTCATATCTTGAACTAATTACAGGGTATCTGTGCACCTGGAAAGTCAGAATTTTTAGGGATAAATACTGAAGATTGGCAGAAGCTCCCAGTTCCTCCAATAATGTCACACTATTTAAAAATGCCGCGTCGAAATTTTTATTCATATGCAGGACCTGATCTAGAAATGTGGGAACCGTAGGTCAGCGGTCCGCTGGTTTTATATATACAGGGTTGCTACGCTACCTGGAAGTTAGGGAATTTGGAAATTGTCTTTAAAAACGGAATTTGACACGTTTGAGCCAAAATAACGTTTAATACGTTGTTACGACATGAGAATTTCGAATTTGAGCCATAGTTTTTTCGACGCGTTCGATTTGGGACAATTCCATCATAATTTTACGTCGTTAGTTGATAGTTTATCATCAGTTATTTACCATTTTTTCGGCTCCTTTAACATGGTTCTTCTATTTTTCAATTTGATGTTACTACTAAGTTCGCATTTCGATTTTGAAGTATAAATTTTTGCCGCGTTCAGTTTGTGATCCAACGTAATTCACATTGTTTGATGGCAGTTTTTCTCCGAAGTTATTATTCTTTTTTTTTTTTTGTTTGTTTGTTTCTTTAGATGCGATTTTTCAAATTCAGGTATTACTAATATGATATTACGACGTGTGAATTTCAATTTCCAGTTACCACTTTCTAACGTGTAACTCAGATATTATTAACACTATAATACGCTACGCAAATTTTGAATTCGAGTTTAAACGTGTTCGATTCGTGATGATGCTGTCGTAAAATCACGTAGTCTCCAATCGTTTTTCTGAGAATCCGCTGCTTAACAATTTTGTGCGATTATTTTTATTATGTGGAATTTCTTGAAAAGACCGTTTTTACGGGTTTGCGTTTGGTGACGGGACCGTCGTTACAAATTAGAATTTTGTGAATGGGACATTTTTTAGAATTTGAGAGTTGTGTTGAGTCCCCACGTACGATCCTTGATTTCTCTTCCAAATTTCTGCCTATTTTTTACAATAAATGACAAATATATTGCATTTTTTTAATTCCTTTATTTTCATCTCAAGTTGTTACAAAATTTGCTCATGCGCTTAAAGCTGTTTGTTTTAGATTTTTGTTTTTTAAAAGCCCAGGTGCGTTTTTCATTAGTTGACTTAAGTTTTCTTTTTTCAAAATGAGATATATTTTCTTTACCATGTCGATGTTCACCACGAATTATGCGAAAAGCTTGATTTTCACTTTGTTCTATTTAACGTTTTCACTACTCACTTAACCACAATCCATTTCGGCTTACCGTCAGTGCGTAGTGTATTAAAGCGCCAATCATTTTGCATATTTGATAAAATACGTGCGGGTTCGCAGGTGCGTATATACTGAGCTGGATTCAGTGGGAAGGATTCTTGCTTTCTCACGTTCAACTCTGCTGCATTTTGCAAGATATTCTCAATTTCAGGCTTCATTTTCCCCCGTCTGAATTTGAACTAAAATCTTTCAAATTTTCGCTGATCACGGGACCAACTAAATATTGCCAAATTTTAATAGCAAAAGAAAATTTTACTTCTCGTTAATTTCATCGTTAGTGAAACTTCTTCGTCAATGGCAAGCTAATGGCCTTCTTGCGCTATTCTATTCATAGATCAGTACCATAATCTTTGAATTTACTTGAGGACCATTCAGTAAGTACATATTTTCATGTAGGTAGGTAATCAGAGCAGTCAACAATCACAATGCTTCATCATATCAAAATTTCCATGTCCCTTTTATTCATTTAATTTAATAAATATAAGAATTGAGAATTTTTACATGAGGTTCCATCCACTAATTGCTTTTTTACTATTTCATTTTACTTATGACTTTTTAATATTGTATTGTTACTTTTAAAAATTTCAGTGCTCTTAATTTGTTTTAGGAAAGAAACTTAATAATTAGAGGAAAGATTTTTTAAAAAAGTATGAAGTGAGGAACTTTCAATATTTTAAATGCACCAAAAATCCTATGTTATTCAGATTTGTCATTCCAAAATACTTTAATTCATCTCTTGATGATTTGATTTAAGAACAATTTAAATGAAAAAGTCGGTTATCTCTGATTTGTTAAATATTATGAGTGTAGGGTAATTTACTTTTATATTATGCTTATTTCATATGATAATTTACTTTTGACAGAAAAGTTAAGCTTCACTACTCATTGTATTTACATTTCAATATTATTTAAATATTTTTTAATCATTTCATTAAAAAAATACTGAACCAAATAATGACTTTTAATAAAGTTATTAGGTGCCATTCGCTAATTTATATTTGTAATATAAATTTATTAAAGCTTCCTTTATCTGCTTAATTCTTCGCATATTTTTATAAATTCGGTATGATCAATAATATTAATCTTATTAATGTTTAGTTGAATATGCTATTGTAAATAACATTTAATTAAATTTTTAAAAATGCGCTGTTTAACCTTTTTAAACAATAATCTTATTAAAACTCTCTGAATTATGTTTATATATGTAATTTATTATTTATTTTGTAATTGAGAGTAAAATAAATTTCGCTTTTTTTTACTTAGTTTTCTTTTGTGTAATTTTCTCTATAACATATACGCTGTCTGCGAGATTCGAAGATTATAAAGCTTACATTTTGGATAATTTTACTTTTGATTGGGTTTAATCCCAATTTATTTTAATCTTAAGTTTTGGAATACTTTTGCTCCAGGCTTATATATTAGTTTATTTGTTATATGATTTAGTACTTTTGAAAATATTTGTGAACTAGGATCTGTGATGTGCAAAAATATTAATAACAAAATAGCATTTATTTTTATTATCAAATCTGGAAGAAGCTCAGATATATTAAGTTAACTTTTTATTTTATTTGTATTATATATTAATAGAGTGCAAGTATTTATTTTTTAATTTACCTTATTCGAGATATATACTTTTTTTCTTTTAAAATTTGTCTTGTTCGTTCTTGCATCTTTCACTTCATGCAGGTACGAAGTATGGAATTAAATTAAACAGAATTATAAAATTGAACAAAGAATTTTCGTCAGAAATGTCTGCTATTGACTTCCAAATTGCAGAATTAAAATAGAAATATTTGTAATAATAAATTAAAATATAAATATATTCTTCTCTGTTATATGTTATGTTTCTTTTGTCTCTGCAACTATTTTTCTACTGTATTGTCGTGTATATTTTTTAATTGAAATACTGTACAATATGCTGTATAAATTATTAACATTAATTTTTTTTTTGTTGACTGTATATTTTGACCACAGCACTGTCAGTTCATACTGTGATATTACACGGAAATTCTTTAAAAATATGTCAGGAACTTTTGTTAATCTATTTAAGTAGCACTCCTGTATGTAGCTATGTCAAATTATATTTGTTATATTGAAGAGAAAAATTAATTCAACTGCAATGTTTAGAGCTTGAGATATATAAATTTTAATAAACCTAAACTTAAAAATTTTTTATTTTGTTTAATCTTTGAAATAATTTTATTTCGATTTATTAAAGGCTTAGTTTATAGTAATCTGATGTTGCGTGGAATAATCCTGTTACTTTGTTTCTTTGAAACCTGTAGAATCGGCCTTAAAAGAAATAATTAAATATTTTTAAATCCATGTTCTAATCTGTTGTATAACTTACCTACAAATACTGAGTTTTCTATCATGTTTTATGGTTAGTACTTTTTATTGCTTTTGTTTATATTGATGCAAAGCGTTGCTCAGTTAAAACAATATCGTTTTTAAGAAAGCTAGACTTGTTCAGATCTTTCGACGTAATCAAGTATCTACTCGTGTAAGTCATAGAAAGTGTTTGGTAAAAGTCATGGATTTAAAAACTCTAGATTTAACAGATGCCTTGCAAAAATCGAAATAATTATCCAATATTTGAGTATACCTCGATTTCCAAGAATCAATTTTAAAAAAAACTACAAAATTCTCGCGAAGCTCTGCAAATGTGAAATTTGATGTTAGAAACGTGTGCTAAATTCCTATAACGAAACAAAACCTTTATTTCTCCCAATAAAGTTTCGAAATGTCTGGCTTCAGCTGAGAATACTCATTAGCCGTGGCGAAAAAAATTTAAATTTGATATTATAAAAGGTAATTTCCAAATAAATTTACTCCATATTTCATTTACGTTAAATCTAGTATTCTCATTATTGTAAAATATTATCTTAATAAAACATGTGTATTTAAGGTTTACTGATGTATATAAGATTTAAATATTTTATTAATATAGAGTTCTATACTTTTTTTAATTATAAACATTTTTTGTAATAATTTTGTCAATTTAAATAAGTCAAGTTATTTGGAGCATTTACAACAGAAATTGTATCAAATTGATACCACCCCAAAATTGCTAAAAAGAAGCAGTAACTTTCTCGGGACTGCAATTAATGTACAGTCTGTTGCCGCTAAATATGTTCAGTTTACTGTTATTAATAGCTAAATGAAGTCAAGTTTATCACCGCTTTTAAATATACTGTAGAAAAGAAAATAGAATATGCTTTGCTAACTGCATCTCTTGTAATGTAAGAAAATTGACATGTAGTAAAGATATTATCTTTTTTCAGAGCTGTGTCAATTGTGGATCAAAGGCAACTATACTATGTGATAATTGCAAAAAAGTTTACTTTTGTTCAACAGAATGCGGGGTAAGTTGTACGTTAAATTTCATCAGTTACTAACCTGTTATTACCTGTATGTTGTTTACCTGTTATTTTGAATTATAACACTTACCTGAGGTACTGTTTCCCTCTATGTGCATAGTGCAATGAGAAAAACCAGTCATGCATTTAATACGTTATTTTATTTCAATTACGGTAGCAAAGTAACTAGATACCCTGTACAATATCGAAAACTAATTATAAAATGTTTATTTCACACACATGGGAAGTTTTATCAAATATATAAATAAGCTGTGTGATTCACTGGAAGAAATGTATTTGAATAGTATCTGCGTATTATTGTGAATTAAGTTCGGAATTATGTTGACCTAATTAGCATAATATTCAGATTATAAAAATATCTAGTCAATGATAAATAGCCAAAATATTCTGAATAAATCAATACAATTTGTACGATTGAAAACTTTTGTTTTGTACATTGTATCCCGAGATCTCTGGAGACCGACCGATGGAATCTAATTACTTTATACATGGCTGATGGTGATACAATCAACTCCAGTAGGTCTTGGTTACAATTGCAAAACAAAAGCCAGGGCCCGATTAACCTCTGAAAATAGGGGAAGCATAATAGGATTTTGGGGCCCCCCTAACTTGAGCAAAAGAAACTTTTGATATTTTTCACCCATAAACAATACATTTTAAAGAGGGAAGAACCATGTGAAAACTATTAGAACCTTAGAAAGGAATACAGAGATCCTATGCAATCATGTTGGACCCTTCTTTACGTGCTTTATAAAGCACGTAAAGTAGGGTCCAACATGTATAGTAGCCAACTATATATAGTAACAAAAACATGAGGGAGTAGCTAGCACATATGTTGAAAAAATTTAAATATTTCACTAAATTAAATTATAAAGTTACTTGTTGTTATACGAAAGGTTCTTTGCAAGAAGAGTCTCTTTTTTTATGCCAATTGTTTTACTAGCGGCAAAACAACACAAAGCATCCCATTTATTAAGCATCCCATTTTTTTTCTTTTCGAGAGTTTTTGTTGGAGTCATTTTTTTTTTCTTATTTCTTTTCTTATTAATATTTTTTTTGGCTACAAAAAATAAGAAATTGGGCCCTTAATTTCAGTCATTTGGGGGCCCCCCTAGAATTTAAAAGGGGAAGCACTTGCTTCCTGTGCCTTTTCGGTAATCAGGCCCTGACAAAAGCTACGTTTCATCTAAGACTTATTTAATTTAAATTGTGCAATCTCCTTTTGGCAGAAAACTTTTTTTTAACGATACAATTATACTAAATAACCCCTACAGAAAACTGAATGATAAGCTCCGCTAATTCTTGAATTTTTCACATATTAAGCTTGCAACCAAGAAAGAACATACATGGACTCTATTCCCGAACCGTGAATTCGTTTGTCAATCATATGTTACTTAATCAGTCTGACTCGCTAAAAATCCACTGAAACAATGACCTCTTAATGACTGAGATGTAACTGCTGTTTTGGCTCATAACACGTTGCTAGTGTGGTACCTTTCGGTTGAAAGAATTATATCTGAAGTTCCATTATTTAGTCATATTTTGAATAGGCAAAAAGGCTCAGCATAGGAAATCGAATAAAGTCACACCTCACTCTCTCTAAAATGAAATGAAAACCTAATGAAATATTTCACTGGTTTCGATAGCTTGACTCCTCTGAATGTGCATTGTTATTTTTAGAAGGGAATCCATCGCAATGTAAAACTCTTCTATACAATGTACAGTGCAGATCAATTGTTAAAAATAATATCGTGACAGACGACAAGTTCTTGAATTTTACCGACGGAAACGTATAATCTGTGCTCTCAAAAAATTTATAAAATTTAATGTGTTTATATTTCTATCAAATCAACTGGTGGAAGCTACGTAATTACGTAAAAGAGACAAGTCAATATACAGAATACAATTTCGTATAGGAAAGGAAAATTTGGTAGAAATGTTAAGCGCCAAATCGTGAAATAAAATTACAGTCAATATTCAAATTATTTAATATAGTGAGCGAGAAACAGCTATTTTGCATTCGAAGTTTTCTATGAACTTGATAATAAATTTGATGGCCATTTACCTAAGAAACTGCTTTCCTTTTATTCATTAAATATTTTTGATCTGTGCAAAGGTAAAATTTTCTTCAATCCTTTGAAAATTATTAGTGAAAGGTATTCGCAGTTGACCCCATTAGTTGTCCGGAATATCCTACTCAATGTTGGACTATGCAGGTAATTTGTATAAGTCTTTGTTAACTCATTTGAGTGAACCTCACTTATTACCCTTTTCAGATCTTTTCGAACTCCTTTTAAGCAGACACCAATTCCACAAATTTTACCCTAGTCCATTAGCAACCAACTAAAGTCAAATTTCTGGTACATTTGATATCGAATCTAAGTTTCAAATTGCCTTCCTCTGTATAAAAATGTTTACATTCTGCTTGTTGTATTGAAAATTTGGAAACGTTTCGTCTTAAGTTAGATTCATTGTCTTTTTCAACTGTTCATAGATTTGCAAGGTATTGAAACGTATGCCCCATTCATGTTAGTGTTTACTAGTCTTAAAGATCTCACCCCTTTAGATGACCTTTCCTACTGCTGCGACGTCAAAAGTTGTTCGGATTGTTTTGTGACAGCGATTAAATTCGGTCTTAAGCGTAGTATAACCTTTGGTGATTGTACAAAATTTCCACATTATTAAGCAATGAGTCTTGTCCGATATAGAACTGGAAGGGAAGTGCTCACCGAATTTTCTTGAAAAGGACAAAATCTACGCTAACACTTTTCATTTTGCTTCTTACAAATTGTTATTCACGGCTAATGTGACACTGCCATTCAGCCGAATCCGATTGTAACATCGTAAGACATAATCTAGTGAACTGAAAGTCTCTTGAACAACCGTTAAAATGAAACTCACTTTGTTTCGAGTTAAAAACATATTCACGTCAGGTAGCCTAACAATTGATTCACTATACAGCAATAGGGAGTGGTACAACAAACCGTTTCTTGCACTATCCGTCTTTTGAAAAAAAATTCATTGCTTAAAATATGTGTGCCATTTCTTTTCTGAAAAGAAATCTGTTGAATCTATACTGAAAATTATTATAAAAAAATTTTAACAATACAATATTTCAGAATAAGGGAGAATATGGTTAAAATAATTGAAAAATCTCACTACCAATATGACATTTAACGGAGATTAAGCACACAATAAAAATCTGAAAGTCCGCGTGTGATGTACACGTCTATAGGGGCCGTTCAAAAAGTACGTACACAAAAATGGAGAAATTTTAAACCCCTCCCCCCTTCGTACATTACTGTACATAAGATCTTACTCCCCCCTTAGAGTACGTACATTTTATTAGTCTACCCCCCTTTTTCATAAAAATTAAAATAATTATGTTTTAAATAAAATTAAATATTTACTTAAGGAGTGTGTAGGATGAAGTCAAATTTAAATTTGGTGTATGTTTATAAAGTACGTACTTTGTATAATACCTCCCCCCTCGCCATTGTACAAAACCGTACATAATAGCAAATCCCCTCCCCCCTTCGGGATGTACGTACTTTTTGAACGGCCCTTATATACAACTTTCGGAGGGTAATGCTTTTCAATTAACGAAAACATTTTTTGCTACACCCTAGTGCTAAGTTCTATTAATCCTGATATACGGTTTTTACAGCAATAATTATATACCACGGTATGATCCTGCGTATATTTACAGGTATAGATTGATTATATTGTCATATGCTCATATAATATAATTTGCACTGATACAGCTTATGCAAGTCTTGCTTTCTCTCTATAGGTATTCTATTGGGAAAACGGACACTACAAAACATGTGAAGGACTCAAAGATTGAAGATAAAGGAAAATCCTTAAAGAATTGCATATAATTATTTCAGGAAGTTATTTGTTTGATTTTGTGATTAAAGTTTCTATTATCTTGTTGACAGATCTTACTTCTTATGTTGCATGTGACACCATTTATAAAAACTACATGATGCAAGTAAATGATACCTTAACATCAAAATAAACTTTGTGTTAAAAAATTTTCATTGTAAACGAATACAACAATAAGTAATGAAATGCTTGCGGGTAGTATTGAGGGATTTTGAATTACTCTTTAAAAAAAAAAATTTATTGTCCATCGAGATACTGGGAGTAAAAGAAATCTTCTAATGTTGATCAGCAGAAGTTAAAATAAAATCTACTCTTAAAATGTAATTGATCCTAACGAGGAGGATGTTGGTGTATCCTCGTTTTCAGGAATCTGATTTTTTTTCCTTGGCGAGTAAGGTGTAATCTTTCGATATAAACAGATTTAGTTGGAGCAGCACAATAACCCAAATGTTGTATTTGAAAGTTGTGACAGTTTTTCTTTATTGGCGATCAAAATGGGTTGTAGGTGTGCGTAGAGCAAAATTCTTTCACGTGATCAATATAAAAGGAACAATTCTAATTGGTGAGTGACCATTGTTGAGCCGAAAAGAAGAGAGCTCTCTGTGAATGAATGAACAAAGATTATATAATTGGCTGATGGTATGGAGTTATATTTTAAATTAAATCATACATAGTCTTAAGGTTTTTAAAGAAGATTTTATAGAGGAATTAACCCTCGCCAATTGTTAATTCGTGGCTGGGTGATTCGTGAGTTGTATGAGTCAGTTTTAAACCCAGTTATTAATTTTATAGTCTCCAAGACCTCGGGTGTAAATTTGGTACATTAATCTGTGAGAATACACTCGAGACGATTATGAGTAATAAGACATGATTCTCACTTAAATTGTTCATAGAGAACAACGAGTTAATTTGAAAAATATCTACCGAGAGAAATTGACCTGGAAATTTCGATATCCGGTGGCTTACGAAGGGAACTTACTGAGGGTTATGAAATTTGTATAACTAGGATGAATATCGCAAGATGCGAAGAAATTTAATAGACAACATACAAGTTTTTTAAAAATATTAATCGGATAAAAATATTTCAAAATCAGAATTGTTATAATGTGAAATAAAGAGCTTTAGTTTTTTAAAGAATCGGGGAGAATGTTCGATGTTTGATGTTCTGGATTTTAAAAATAAATTTTTTAATTTGTTTCTATCTCAAAAGCTTCTTACTGGCTTGAAATAGTGATCCAACATCTTTAAAAAGATTCTTCCCTTTGTTACGTGTTATAATTGCATAAATGTCTACAATCAATTATTATTTTGTACTATCCACTACCTTTTTATGCTTTTCACTTTTTTCGTGGCTAGTAATAGCCTGCCTTCCCATGTTACTCAAATTGAAAGTTTGTTGCAGAGACCTTCGATCCAGTTTGACCATTGCGGATTTAAACGATGATAAGTCCATTCTAAATTAAACACAGTTTTCTTGCTCATTTTTCAAATAACAAAAAGGTAGTAATTGAAAAAAAGTAACATAAAAATCCAGCGATAAAAAAAACGATCTCCGAACACAAAATTCACAAGCCTCCGCCGAAAAAAAAAATATGTTGTACCGTGTCTACTTTCGATCACACATGCCATTTTCATAACGTGGGAAGGGGGGACGAAGAAGAGTGGAGAGGAGAAAATACACCTACCCATTCCCCAAAGATATCGTACGTAAAGTGTGACGTAACTTGAGTAAATCTTATTGGCTCTAACTACATCCACGTCAGACGTAAAGGGAGATCGATAATCTTGCACATGCACAGTAAGCGACGCGCTTCAGCATGAACGAAAATCAGCTTGACAGGTTGCAATCTATCATTTTCCAGGTTTGTCGTAGGATTTTCCCTGACTCATTTCAAAATCCCTGACAATTCCAGGTGTTCCCTGACCCGTGGGAACCCTGAAGAGCACTAAAATATCTGAAACAAAAGTAGAACACATTAAGTAAAAATATATTCGAAACATATCAAGTAAAAAATACTACGAACACTAGATGAAATTTATAAAGCGAGTACCGAAAACAAATGAACTTACACGCACCGGAATCTCTCAAGAACGATTCAAAATATTTCCATAAGAAGATTGCCGGATTACAAAATATGAAAATAGAATCGAAAACAGAATTCGAAGTTAGATAGAAATTATAATCTTAAAATTAAATTTGTTTTTGGATCAATTGATGATTTAATTATGTTAAATTTTCAAGATTATACAATTTTGGTTAATGATATTTACTCCGAGAAATTAACCTTGCTTCGCAATCATGAAGTAATATTAATTTCAAATTTTTGGGTATTAAAAAGGAAGAAAATATCTGCTTTGTTGATTTATATGATAAAAGAAATGACTTTAATTTTAATATAAATAAACTAGTTACTTGAAATTCTAATGTTTCTAAAAACATTTATTTAAATATCATTTTTGAAAAAAATGAAGAGAATTAAAAGAATATGTAGTAATTATTTATCCAAAAAAATAAAAAAAAATCTTTCAGAATTTAATAAACAATGGATACTCAACTAATGTTATTAAGTTCTATATAAAATCATTGAGTTAATTGTATGTTAATATTAATAAATTTACTAAAACTTCTTTGTTAATTTACATTTTTACCATTTGCAAATTCAATTCGACCAAATCATGTTTCTCTCTGTCTTTTTTAATTGAATGTAAATTTTCTAAAATCATTAAAATTGTATAATTTAATATATCTATCTTATTAATTATAAACTTTAAATCAAATCAGCCAGTATAATATAATTACCTTCTGCATATCTAGTTTCGGGCCAATCCAAAGTAGCTAACAAATCAAACACACTTCAGTAAGAGCGTGGCATAAAAGATCCCTCTATTTATGCTTCTAACTCTATTTGCGCTTCTATTTCATATTTTCTAATCTGGCAATCTCATTCTTGAAAGATTCCGGTACATGTAACTTCATTTGTTTTACCACTCACTTTATAGATTTCGTTTTGTATTTTGTTTCTTGCTGGATATGTTTTATTTCGTATATATTTTTACTTACTGTGTTCTAATTTTGTCTTAATTTTTTTGAGTGCTCCTCATATTATTATATTGATATATTTTGCTTTGACTATAATGATACAATATTAGAAAGCATTCTTTTTTGCAAATATAATTGTGTGAGCTGATATATTTGTGTGATTTTATATCTTTTCATTATGTTGTGTTCTTTTAAAAAATATTTTATTTTAGTAATTATTTTCTTTTGATTAATCATTATTATTTTCCATATTTTCTCTATATTTTTAACTTATTTTATGAGTTCTCATATACTTGTAGCTGATGTGCTGTAAATAAAACTTATAATTTTCTTGGATTTTCTCTTTTTATTCTTTTGGTCTTTATTGTGCTATGGATGGGTGATCGTGTAAAGCTAAGGGTGGTGGCGCTAGTGGTAAAATTGCTCTTTCAAGACTTCCGGGTTACTGCTTCCGATATATTTTTACGCCGCAGTTAGAAAAAACGCGCCATCATATTATTGCA